ATCATTATAATATTATGTTATACACGCGTATAGCATTAGCACGTTACGCACGTCCTGTCCGGTTAGATGTGTGATGTAGAATACTTGCGATTTTTAGATTTTTTTTATGCAACTGACTGAGTAATCTCGGATTACGGCGTGGAACTTATTACGAGAGGTGTCCGTCCTTTTCTTCGTAGTAGATCTTTTAGATTCAGAGGACGGCAGTCTTCGACTCTTGGTTTATTTTGAATGAGGTTGGCGAGTTAATTTGTGTTGTGTGTCGTGTGATTTCAGCTTAATCGTGAAGATTCGTCGGTGCGATAAGTGAACAACTAAGACGTTCCTTCAATAGGTGTGTGCAGCATCCAGGTAAGTGAAGCCAAAGAGAGGGAAGGGTGGAGGAAGGAAGAGAGGGAAGGGTGAAGGATGGAAGAGAGGGAAGGGTGAAGGAATGGGGAGAAGGAAGGAAGAGAGGGAAGGGTGAAGGTAGGAAGAGAGGGAAGGGTGAAGGAAGGAAGAGAGGGAAGGGTGGAGGAAGGAAGAGAGGGAAGGGTGAAGGAAGGAAGAGAGGGAAGGGTGGAGGAAGGATGAGAGGGAAGGGTGAAGGAAGGAAGAGAGGGAAGGGTGAAGGAAGGAAGAGAGGGAAGGGTGAAGGAAGGAAGAGAGGGAAGGGTGAAGGAAGGAAGAGAGGGAAGGGTGGAGGAAGGAAGAGAGGGAAGGGTGAAGGAAGGAAGAGAGGGAAGGGTGATGGAAGGAAGAGAGGGATGGGTGAAGGAAAGGAGATAGACGAGTAGAGGGAATCAGAGAGAGAGAGAGAGAGAGAGAGAGAGAGAGAGGAGCTGTAAGAAAATACAAAAGAGAGACAGAGCTTGGGGGAGAGACTATGAAATTAAGACAGGGAGAGAAGAGAGAGAACACCGAACGCAAAGGGGGAAGAGCTTAGAAAGACGTTTCTAAGACTTAAAAAAAGAATTGCACTGTTTCAAGCTTAACGATTGTGTCGCCATCTGTTGGCAGGAAAAGGCAGTAACGGAGGAACTTCAAGTTGCCACGGCTTACGACTTGACGTGGCGCAGTAACGTTGGTAAAACGGCTGTGGCAACCTGTCTAATCTCCAAGAATAAACACCATCCTTAACTTGCATAATCCCGCATGCTACTGGCCTTCTTGGTGGCATTGCAATACTACCAAGAAGGCCAGTAGCATGCGGGATTATGCAAGTGATGTAAAGATGAATTAATGTTAAGCATCTGAATGTCAAAGCCAATGTCAAGAATGCGCACACACTGAGTATCTCCAGGCCATGTCGTGATAGGTTGCCGTATGCCATCTTGATTATGAGAGTTAATACCCCGGGGGAGGGGGCACTCACCCAACATTATGGTAGATATGTGCCACTGCGAAGTCAAAAATGAGGGGCTCTGGAACTAACTCAGACCTTGAAATGTGGCGTCTCCTGGAACTAGAATGCTTGTTGAATGTTGGGATGCGTCGGTGGAACTGGCTGTGTATCGAGAATGTTAATCTTGTGATGCTCTGCGAACGAGCATATTCTTAAACAATGTGAATCAACTGAAACGGAATTTAGGTGAAAAAGGGGTCTCTCCCGCGGCTACATACCTACCATGCAATATATATCGAGTGCCCCCCTCGGGGGGTTAATTACAAATTAAAAATTTCATACTCTTATAATAGACGTTCTCTGGTCGTTTGATAAGCTTTGACGTGTCTGCCCGTTACGTTGGGCCTGAAACTTATCGTTTTCTTCGTGACTTTTTAATGTTCGATTTGACGCTGAAATATATTCTGAGACTGTTTAGAATTTGTTAGAATGACACAATAACTATGGTTATGTGAGATCATCCATATTCTTTTTTGCACTTCATGTCAATCTTGTGTGCGTTTTTCGGCCCATTATATCTGGCAACTCTATTCATTGGGGTTAGCTATCGGTACAAATACAGCGATCGCGCCGCTGCGACAGCAACCTTCGGTGTTTGCAATATAAATCCACAACTGCAATATCTCACTCTATTTGCATTACCGCTGCTAATTTTATTATCAATGCCTCTTACGTACATTACCACACTTGGACCCTGCTTGAGCTACGCAGGAGCTCAGTAAGAAGAAACGGACTAAGGCTTATATGTGTTTGTAAGCAATAATGTTGCCAGAGTATCCATATCACACATGTATGAGCCAGATTTACTAATTAGCGTACCGGCATATCGGTTCCATTTACGTGCATACGGTAGGCATGTTTAACGAACACGATTAATTTGCATCAGTTTAGTGTACACTCTGGGGTATTGAATTGAAACCAGGTCTAATTACATTTGCCTACATATCTCAAGATATAGATGGACACAGCGATGTAACACTACAGTGAAGTGGCGGTGGACCGTTACTGTTAGAGTGAGTCATATTACGCGGCATTAATCTAGATATACTATCATTAACAGTCTCAACCCTAGTGTCTGACTTTAACTAGGGTTGGCTTTGTTTAACCTGAAACAAACCATGCACTAAAAAGTAAAGGTATGTAGTATCATTTGAAATTAAGATTCGGAGTTTTTGGATGCACCAACAGCAACCTGACCCTACGAACGACCCTCCTCCCCGGTTCTCATGACGTCCCTTGAGTCAGCCAATTTACAAGGACACTACATGGAGGGATGCCTGCAAGTATTCCCGAGTGGTCAGTGCTGCAAGGCAGTGAGTATTGGCGGCCCATAAACAAAACCAAGTGCCGCGGCAGCACAGCGCTCCACCTCTAACGTCTACTGCGGTGACTCTGTGGGTGGAAGTGGTGGTGATTCTAGTAAAACCCTGTTAGTCCCAAAGTGTTGGTTCACATACACGCCGACACAGTCGGACATGCACAGGGATCGCGTATCAGCGACCTTCTCCAAGGCATGTACGTCGTACGTTGGGATCGTTATGAAAGTTGCCACGATAATGGCGCGTACGTTTAAGTGTCTTTCGATATAAGATGGAAGCCTCCCATCGAAGTCAGTAGCCAAACACACTATTTGCAAGACAGATAGGTAAGCACTCATCCATTACCTACGCAAAGCCTACACGGCATGCAATAGCAGAGCTCCACCTGTAACACATTAACGCCAGGCAAAAAACTACACAGCTACGTACACCAACACATGCACTGGCCAGTAGCCACTTGCAGTGGGCATACCGGTACACCTGTAACATACTCGACAGTACAGAAATGCCATAGAAATCTTATACGATTTAAGCAGCATAACCTTCTTTACCAAGAATTTAGTTCTTGAAATTTCACTGTGACATTGTAGGCCCTCATACATCCAGGCATGTATACGATTGCTACTACAAAACCCGGCATGTTCAAATTCTTTCTACGTCAACAAATCAGGTTTACCCTCCTCTGAGAGTCAAAAGGTTATCTGAGCACTTTACTCTTCGCACGTTCAGCAGAAGTAGATCTTCACTGGTCCTTTTCAATAATGCCACTAAAAATGGCCTAGGTCACGCTGAAACAAAAAAGTTTTCAATCGCCGTCACGTCAGACCCATGTCCTCAGAAAATGTATACAATATCTGCCCTGTGCCCATTGACTTTAACTGTGGACCGCCAATTTCGGCACGTGATGGCTTTTGCCTACCATGATGCTATACCGACTATTCACGATCCGTAGGTCGCAGCCGTTTAGATTTGCTGCCGCAATTCTGCATTTCCTCCCTATACCTTAGTTAAGGAGTAATGTTCCCCTTCTTTACCTCTTGACCTTTGACCTTTTGAGCCTCCCCAGGCTTCGACAATCCCAAACTCGTCTTTCGGATTACCCCCCCCGTCGCCCGAATATCGTTGGCCGGGGCTACGATCGAAACCGGTTAAGATTTTGCCCAACTTGTTGACGGCACGACGGACGACGGCAACGGAGATCAAGCCTGATTCTACAAGCTGTATCCTGACTATGTCAGATGAGCTAAACTTGAAGAAAAAGGTGCGCCACTGTACAAGGAAAAGTAAATTACACGATACTTGCTACAACTTAACCACGTTATATTAATAATAATATAAATAATAACGAAAGACATGGATATTGATCTACAGTAGATCTAGAATGTTTTAGAAAATAGACTTAATTTCAATACTTTCATCTGGTAGAGGAGCTCCCCCTCAACTCCATACGATTACCCTGGTATCCACCTGACCTCCATCACGCCTTATCAGAAGGCAGATTGGGGTATATTTACATTTCTTGCCCCCCCCCACTCTGACGCAAGAGTATAATACTAAATACCAATACAATGTTCTTTTTTCTTTTGATTCCAGATATGTCGTGCTCCATGCGTGCAGCCCTCTCAGAGTCAAACGTACGTTGTAGCCATTATTTGGGCAGAGATGAAAAAGTCTGCTGCCTACAAAGTAGACATCTCCCATCAGCTCACTGACGGGATCGGGTTATAGAGGATGGGCAGTGCTGGGGGGAAGTGGGAAGACGGCGGCCCACTGCAAGCATGTTGGACCATTCTGCATGACTGACATGCGTTTGTCAGACTGGGAAGATCTTTACACCGAGCTGACATGTACTCAGCTATCTTCAAAATCTACAAATAAAATTGGCATTTAAGTTCCATGAGATATTGAAGGACATAAATTTCAAATGTATCATTGCTTCCCTTTATGGTTTACAAATAAAAATTTTTTTAATCACAAAAAGATATGTTTACTCTACTTCGTGTATCACATGTATACTTTGATCATTCCTGGGCAATGGTCGAATTTGTTAATCTTTACTATGCTTGAAGTTCAACCAACTAACATAACATCCTTGTGCTATTATTATTTTACTGTAACTTAGTATTATGTTTATCCTAAGTAGGGTAATTTTATGTCAAAATATCAACCACGAGAACATTTCTTCTATATTCATACAGTACTTCTAACGTTCACCGAGCGACACGCCTTTCAAGGGGTCTCCAATGAAGGCAGAAGCACTTCCCACGGGGTTCGCTTGGGAAAGGATAGCATCTGCTATATGACCCCAAGCCGATATCGATACCGCACCAGCTATCCGTGCCTCAAGGTTTCGCAAATCTCTGCATATTATTTCTGCCGTCAGGTTATGTATTATTCTGTACCTTGCATCGTTTTTGACAGTAATCATGTATGGAATATACAATATATCTGCGCATGTCTGACTTAACAACAAATACAACTAAAAAACTCATAACTGATGACATGGAGCAATTCATTTTATTACCTTACTTGTTATATATAATCTAGGCACAATTGCCTTGTGATAACACATAATAACACATCTTTTCAGGTCGGAGCACAGATGCCAGTCCTTCAATCTACTCACGCTGCTAACCCTATGCTAATTTGCCATGATCATGACTACATCGACGCGTCCACTGAAGACCAGTACCTCCCAGGATCCAAATGGTATTGCCATGTATCAGTTAGTTAATATTTTAGTATATTTACATATACTTATAGTACAGATGAAAAATAAATATATCTGGTTCAGTGTAATATATTTACATTCATCTCTCTCCTTCCCGTGATTAGATCTTATCAAACCCAAAGATTCTGGAAGACGCATGAGCATAACAAATAGTCCTCCTCTCTTGTCACTGCCCAAACAACAGTTTTGGGCAAAACCATTTTTAGACTCACTTGACATCGTCAACGCTGAGCTATTTGTCATGGTTGTCGTCCTGTCGTCCGGTCAACATTTTGCTACGGTCAACGATAACTCGGGAACCGTGTTCAACCCACATGTTTGAAATTGGGTATAGTTGTTCTGCTATGCTTCCCATATTAAACGTCCTATTTTGGGGCACGCAAGTCGAGTTACTTTCGAAAGCCACGGCAATTTTTTGCCAAAAACTGGAAATTGCCATTAGTCAGTTCTAGGTTCAACGGATTTTTCACATGGTTTTGGTATCGTGAAATGAATAAGTGCCTAGGGGTTTTGATATTTAAACCAACCACAATTACTGCAAATTAGGTAGGTCTTATGCATTTATGGCAAAACCGCAGATAACAACACAGTCTGTGGTGGTCACACTCTCTGGTTCGTTTTGGACAGATTTCCATTAGACAACTATCTTTAATGCCCAAAATTGGTATTTCCTCTAGCCACCCTGCGATAAAAAACGTCT